GATTAAACGATTAAAACTAATTTTGTACCATAATGTATAGGGTCCTGCAAGCCATCTTTAGGAGAAAAAGACAAGACCTGCAAATCCGTGGCCACAGAACAGCAGAATATGAACGCAATGCGCAAAGTCTCTCGCTAAGTGTTTTCCTCCTGTAGAAAAACATAAATACTTAACATGGCTTAATGTATTAAGATTCTATTAAAATATCAAATTCAATATAGAGTTTATTAATATAATGAATATGTATATAGTATTTTCCTCCCACACTGCGAAACGTGGCATAATGTGGCATAATGGACTAAGATGATAAAGACCAAACTCAATGCTCTTTATTATTATAATATAGCCTACATAACTAATATACAGGCAAGCAGGTGAGCCCAGAATAAACGCAACACGCAAAGTTTCGCGTTAAGAGATTTTCCATATAGAATAAATTGTCTACAGCTCTTTTATATCATTGTCTTTGTCCATTAAGCTACATTACGTGTTTTATTTATGATTTTCTATGGGAGGAACATTTTTAACATGCAATTTAATGCATTGCGTTCTGGGCTCGTCTGCTTGCCTGTACGGAGTTGATCCTTTTAATAATTTCATAACATTATGAAAACATTATTCAAAAACATTTCATAATGCGTGTTCATATTTGCTGTTCTGTATATACTTTGAGTCAACAACAAGACATATAGGCTACTGAATTGTCTTTATCATCCGTTATTATGCCACATTAAGCGTTTTGCTGTATGGGAGGACAAGTGAAAGTTTGCGCATTGTGTTCATAGCCATCTGCTTGCCTTGTAGTACATTAAATAATAACTATATATCGAATTTGATCTTTTAATTGCACTTAATGTATCTTAATGGATTAAGCCATTTTATGTTTTTCTACAGGAGGAAAACGCTTAATGAGAGACTTTGTGCATTGCGTTCATATTCTGCTGTTCTGTCTGAGAGTGCAAGTCCGAGAATGCAAGTGCAAGGTTGCAGCCAGACCCTTCTCGTTGGTTTGGACATTGTATCTTGGTTCTACCCTCTTGAAAGTATCTTGGATTAAGTGTAAAGGGTACATGAATTTAGGTGCTATTGTATATACTAAAGAACCATAATATTTCCATCTGATGCCATCAAAGTACCATGGGACCACCACAGTACTTAATTGTATAAGGGTCTACCTTACATTAACAGATCTCCAGACCAGATGCAGGTAAATCTCATGGAGGTTTGTGTGTGTTTCAGAGCTGGAGGTGCGTCAGAAGCGTGGTGTTCTCCCAGCGGATGCCCTGCTGCTGACCGTTCCTGACCCTCACGCCCGGCTGGGCAGCGGTGGGGCCACACTGAATGCCCTGCTGGTGGCTGCAGAGCACCTGAGTGCCAGAGCCGGATACAGCGTGAGCTTCACTTTACAATAGAGGGCTCTGTGTGTGTGTGCAGATGGTTGAAGGTTTGGAGAGGAATCCTAAAGGATGTGTTCAGGATTGCCAAAGGAATTTCTTGAGCCTAAAGGACCCAAATGGGAAAAATAAAGATCCTTAAAAATGTATACTACCGGTCAAAAGTTTGGAATACATTTTTTTGAATATCTTTGAAAGAAGTCTCTTATGCTCACCAAGGCTGCATTTATTTGGTCAGAAATACAATAAATAAATCATTAATATTGTGAAATATTATTACAATTTAAAAGAACTGTTCTCTATGTTAATATTTTTCAAAATCGAATTTATTCCTGTGATGACGAAGCTAAATTTTCAGCATCATTCCTCCAGTCTTCAGTGTCACATGATCCTTCAGAAATCATTCTAATATGCTGATTTGTTGCTCCAATGAGGTGAGAGCATTATTATCAAAATACACATTTAGTGAAACATCCTGTTGTTTCAGATTTGCGCGGGCTCTCCGCCTGGCGTTTGGGTATGTGGCACTGATATGATCCTGAATATTCCAGCACGACAACGTGAGCTAATATTTATGCAATCACACATCTAATGCACAAACAAAACATCTCAAAAGCATTTGCCTTGTTTTTTATGTATCAAAATCAGCAGTTTTCCACTTCAAAAACACTTTTTTTTAATCTTTAAATTTTTTCTTTACAGTGATTTCATGGGACGGGTTCTCTGGGGTTCGGGTTGTGGCGTTGCCAGGTGACATTAGTTTTGCTGTTAATCATGGCATCTATCTCACTGATGCAGAGGTGCGTTATTGAAAATTAGGGTGATTTTTTTAATTTTTTATTATGCATTTGCATATCACTTTTAGAATTTGTAATTCTTGCTTTTACAGTCCAGAGTATGTAATATTATCTATAAGGGCTCAAAGGAGAAAATCAGCTGTGCTGCACTTCCTGATGGGAAAGTACCTCTGGTATGAATTTGTTTGTTGCAATATATGTATATACCAACAAAGTATATATTTACTATGTTTAAAGATGCATTGGATGTTTTGATTAAATGTTTTTGGGATGCTTCGTAAAAGTGTCTCTGTGGTGTTCAGGTGTCCGGCCCGGTGTTTTTCTCTAGGACTGTTGCAGAGAAACTCCTACAGACTCATGTTTCGTCACCATTGGACGGCTGTACGTATCTTGGCATGGATTCGGGAGCTCCACCGCTTGAGGTAAAATCACACACAACATAGTTCTTTTTCTCCGACTGGTCTCTCCCTCTCATTTTTCTTGCTCTCTCTTGCAGATATCTCTCTTTTTGGATATTCTGGTGTGCCTTTGCTCTCACCTGACAGAGCAGGAATTCATCAATGGAGAGAGAACAGGCTGCACTTCACCCTCCGGACCTCAGGGGGCAGTAGTGAGGAGCGGCCGCGCTGTACTGTGGAGGACTCTCAGGGGCCCCTCCATCTCTATGTGTACACTTTCACTATTATTTGCCTCTATTTTATATAAAAAAAACATTTGTACGAAAGTAAATAGGTTTCTAAATGTGTGTGCATGTGAGAAACTAATGGTGTGTGCACACCAAAAGCGAAATATTCTCATCAAGTTACTTGCTCTAGATTACTCGCGGGATGTTTTTCATGTCACTTGCACGAATAAAAACATTGTGCAATGAGGAGTGTCTTCACGCACATCAACAAGAACAACAACAACAACATTTCTTTCTGCCGTTTTTTCTG